TAACTGGCCTAACGGCTTTTAAAAAAACAACAACACACACACAGGCAACTTAATGACAGGATGAAAGGATTAGAGAATGGGGAGGGCAGAGCGGCCAGAAGTCACGTGCCAATTGCATAATCACATTTCAAGAAACAATGCAGGCAGCAGTTACTGGGTAACAGTGCCAAGGCAGGATGGGAGGGAAAGCAGGCCAGTCCAGCGGTCTTAATCTACTCAAATCTGCCTTTGCTACTGAATAGCAGCTGATAAACTTGCACAGCCAACAACTCCTTTCACTCCACTGCATCTATTTTTTTCAAAAGGTAATCCAGGATACATTTCTAGCACCCATATATACTTTTGAAAGGGTCTCTTGCTCACACCCAAGGAGCTGTCATTCCAGTTTCTTATTAGAGAAACACGGAAGTCGACGGTTTGTATTCCCAAAGAAACTAAGAGTTAACTGGGTCAGGTTAATTCCCATGGAGTTTAAGGAACTATGGGTAGCGCAAGCTATGAAACGACAAGTGATATATAAACATGTGGAAGCCAATTTTTGGACTGGGAGTGTCAACTACCTAAGGAAAACATACCCAGCAAGTAAGAGTGCTCGTCTGAGGGACCAGCCACAGACTTGAAAGCCCTGCCAGGTTATCAGAGAGCCCTGCCAGGTTACCCACAGCTTCCTCACCTGCCTCAGCTGGGGGAAATGCAACCCACACAAGCAGAAGTGTGCGAGGATTTCGTCCTTCCAGTGAAATTAACAAGGAAACCCCACCCGAGCACGACATCTGTATAGTCTTGGCAACTGAGAAGCAGCTGTCTGAATCGGGACAGGCACCACTATCAAAATACCCACTGACGCTGAATTCAGACATTACGCCAAGCTAATACGAAGCCTGAATACGATATTACACTTGAATTATGTTATTCTCCCATCCGACCCCGTACCAAGTGCAATGGAGAAATCCTGGTTTAAAATTCACTAAACAATGAATAGAAACCTGGTTTGCTTGGGAAGGGAAAGAGACTAACTCCAAGTTAAGCCACACACCTGCATGCATACACAGCACATAAGGAGCTGGCTTTACACTAGGGTTCCCTTATCATGCTTTCTACAGAAGAGGGGAGTGTGCCAACAGCTTCCATTAGTCCCGGATCCAACATACACCCCCGTAAAAAAAAGAAAAAAACATAACGTACAGAGAATTTGTTTGTGTGTGTTCCAGGGCACCATTGCTTAAAAAAAATCTTGGGTAGACATTCCAATTTTGGAACGTTTTTGCTGCAGCCGCCATTTTGTAACTTGGCAGATATGGTTATTGCAATATTTAAAATTCACTTGAGACGCTAAAAAAAAACTCTTCTTGGTGTGAATATATATGTTTTTTTGAGGTCAGTAAAGCCAAATACAGTGTAGAGACAACCATTTTTCCTGTAGCTGCCTTTTGACAAGCAACAGGACCCAAGATCTTCGCAATGAGTATGGGCACCTTGGGTCCTGTTATTAGTCAACATGGAATGTTTCCAGCAAGAGTTGATAAGTAGTATTTGATAAGAACTGGGATTGCTACACGCTCAGATAAAGTATACATTGCGAAACGAATGTTCACATTGCGCAGTATTTGTTAGCGTGTGAGCGATGACAGGATATTCCTTACAGAACTTCAAAAATACTTCAGTAAATGTTTTTGCAACTTATCTTTATTGACTCTTCATTATTTTTATCACAGATGTTGTTTTTCGAGTTCCAACTCTTCCCACGATCTCTCATTTTGGCTTCCGCCTTTTGACAAGCGGCAATCCACAGAGAGTATACTGGGTCCAGTGGGAATGGGAGGGGGGTAAGCTCTGTGCCCAGGGTCTGGGATCCTCTGTCCTGGGAAGACGTCCAGGTTTCCCCATCTTGGGGTGGGGGTGGGGGGGTGGGGGGGAAGAGCAGAGCAAGCAGGGCTTCCCGATCCTGAAGTTCATTCAGAGATCAAAACACGCAATCAGAACCAAGAAGGGCGGGTGTGAGGAGAAGGGGCTTTAGGAATTGGCAATGAAGGGCAGGACTTCTGGGGAACGGACAGTGTCAAGGTCTCTGGGTCTCTTGGGGGGGGGGATAGAGTTTACTCTTCAGAGAAGACAGTCATGGAATCATAGAGTTGGAAGGGATCTCCAGGGTCATCTAGTCCAACCCCCAAGTCGTGTCCTTAAGTTTATCTGAATTCCAACTTTCTTGCAGGGGGGCTCAGATGGGCAACATGCAGCAGATGGAAATGAAGCAGGGACGGGAGTTGCCAGATAAGGCAAAGCCAAGGAAGCACAAGCACCTCCCTGATGTGGAACTGTCACGGCCAGTCGCCGGCCCTACAGACGACTCAGTTCCCTGAAGAGCCTCTTCCTACAGCCCAGCCTTTAGTGTGGAGGCTCTGCTGCTCTACGCTTTTGAGCGCAAACTGTCTGCAAACAGGGCACCTACAGACGTTGTGGCCTTCATCCAAGCAAGGACAAAATGAGGCATGCTTGTCCAAGTTTTATTGAAAGCAACGGCTTCTGCTAATATTTGCTCTTTATCTCTTTCCAAAGATTCCTTTGGAGCAGAGTCCAAAGAAGCCATCCGCTCAGCTAACAGTATCCCAAACATAATTGAAGATGCCTGCATCAACGCAGTCGTCCTCGGAGGTGAAACAGCCAACCCGTGGCCCTTACCTTTTAGTATCGTAGTCAATTAAAACATAGTTTTCCATAGCAAGCTTGAGGTCTGGGATTTCTTCACAGACCCACCTGAAACGAAACAAAGGAGAAAAGCAAGTGAGCTTCGCAAACAACGTCACGAACGTGTTACCGGATGACAATAAAGCTGATGAGCCACCTTGCTCAGAGATCCTTCTAGTAATCATGTGTGGCTAACTGAAAGCCATAAAAGGAATGTACCCCAATTTGCAAATACAAGAAAGCCAGCATCCACCTGTAACAGTGACTGTCCATTCATATCTGGCAAATAACTTTTGCCTGCCTGACGAGCAATGCCACAGACCGATCTGTTTGGAACAATATACTAATATTCGAAGATACTACTTACTGGACTTCAAGGGAAATAGGTAGAAAGCAACAAAGGATTTCTTTGCAGAGATAATGTTACACTATTAATATATCTAATGCTGAACAACAGCCCCAAAGTGTGGGTCAAAGAATACACACAGTGGGGGGTAGGTACAGATAGGATGGATTTTCTGCAGACCTAAGGCAAACTCACACGTTTGCACAAAAATCTCAATAAATAAACACAACTGAGTGTCGTTAAGCCACAACGCGGAGAATGCTGACTGAGATCTCGCAAGATCTCAAGAGATCACAGTTAGCACTGAGGGGGTTGCGTAACAACCAAGGCATTAGATACTGGGCCTCTGCGACCCCAGCGAGATTGCAGGTTGTTTGGGGGGGGGTGTGAAGCAGCAACAGCAGGGGAGGGGGGGGAGAAAAAGTAAAGAAAAACTGGGGAGAGTTGGGGAAAGAAGGAAAAACACAACGGGGGAGAGAAAGTATTACTTTGTAAGCCACCTCAGGCAAGGTTGCAGGAGAGACGGCACAAATATTTTATGGATAAATAGTATGTAGAGGAAAAGCTAGGAGGAGAAAGAATAGAAAATGGGGAGGAATAAAGCAAGGAAAGGGCTGGGGGGAAAAGAGTGGGGCCAGGTATTTCCCTCCATGTGAGTTTACAGCTTGTCTATATATCGAACTCTGAAGACGACCTCAGAGTACGGATCAAAAACTCCTCACGAGAAGGCCTAATGCAGATTAGGAAGATGTTTCTGCAAACCTGAGAAATCTGGATGTAAAAAGGGGGGAGAAGGGAGGGAAAAAAACGTAACTTACAATAACCGAGATCTTGAAGGACTACTTCATGAGATTTCAGCAGCTGTTTTGGATCGCTTAGGCAGCCGCCACAGACAACATGGCCAATGTTGTCTATGGTTGCCTAGATAATTTTAAATGGCTTTCATGATCTCCTAAGGTCACCTCCCGAGATTTTGGCTGTCACTTTCTCAAGAGAACTGAACAAATAATGAGGGGGGGGGGGGGGGGAGGAAAGGCAGGCATGAAGACTGAGGGGGCAGGAGAGACAGGATGGGAGGGATCTGGGGACCAGAATGGGGCAAGGAAATTCCCCTCCCCTACAAGATAAATAGGTACCACTTCAGTGGGAAGGTAACAGCGTTCCGTGAACCTGGGTGTTTAGTCATGCCGGCCACATGACCACGGAAACGTCTTCGGACAGCGCTGGCTCTTCGGCTTTGAAACGGAGATGAGCACCGCAACCCTAGAGTCGGACTCGACTGGCTTTCGAGCAAGGGAGACCTTTACCTTTTACAAGCCTCATGGGTCCCCCTTCTCGTGGCACCTAAATGTGAATATGAGGGCATTCCCCTACCCATAAGAAACTGACTCTCAGAGCAGGAAAGGTGCCAAGGACAGCAACAGGGTGGTAGCAAGGCAATCAGGTGGGACACAGAGTATGGGGAGACCATAATTCTCTCCTCGTGTTTTCCAGAGGGAGCTGCTGCTAACCTCTGGCACAGGGCTCCAAACGTTTTTGGCTTGGCTTACTAACCAGTCACTGTTCCTGGAAGCTGTCAACCCTTCCCTCGCCAGAGTCCGGGGCGCATTTACTTTGGCGCAGGGCCGGCCCCAGGGACCCAACAAGAGTGGGGGATGTAAATATTTTAAATAAATAAACGAGGAAGGGCTGTCTCTGCCTCTTGCCATGTCTTGCTGTTGAATCCTACAAAGGCCTAGAAGAAAAGCAGAAGGAACCACCCCGGCTTTCTCCTAAATCCCACAAAGGCCTAGAAGAAAAGCAGAAGGAACCACTCCTTCTTTGTCCTAAATTCTCCACCTCCAGTAGCCTGCCCGAGCAGCATCCTGCGTCTGCCAACCTTCGCCTCAAGCCACCGCCCCGTGGCAATACAGAAGCAGGAGGAGAATGAGGCGAGACTACTTGCCTGAGGAAAGGAGCAAAGTCCCATACAGTCGTTTCAGGTGATGACTTTGGGCCTGTGACAGAACTGCTGCTATTCCCCGGCAGGATGCTGGTCAGCAGCACAGCCAGAGATGAGGCACTGGGAGGCCAAGTGAGAACTGGCCTCAGGCGGGGAGACCGCATACCCAGCTTAGATGTTTCGGCCACGCACACCCTTCATTTCTGAGGGGGAGGAGAAGAGATGAAGGGTGTGCATTCAGTAAACCCGAACCGGGAAAAAACCCCGAAACCAAGACAGGCTGCTGCTGGGGTGCCCAAGCGGCCACCGCCGGCCGGCCAGGAGGTGAGTCGTCCTGCGAACACCTCCAGCGCTCTCCCTGAGCGTTCTGCGGTAGGGACGGGGCAGGGATGCCAAGCATCTCTGATGGAGATGTTTGGCAACGTCAACACTAGAGTGCCCGGAGAGGGGAAGCAGCAGGCTAGCAAGAGGGTCACTCGTCTCATTGCTGAGATGCTTGCTCTAGATGGCCGCCCCTTCCCCGCAGCTGAAGACGTAGGTTTCCGCAAGCTGCTCCAGGATGCCTATCCCTGGTACACACACCCCTGCTCACTCCACGCTGAGCAGGACCGTGATACCCTCACTGTACAGGGCTGCCAGGGACCACATGAAGGCACAGTTCTCCCAAGCTCGTGAGAGATATGTGCATCTCACGTCAGACATCTGGACCTCCTGTCAGGTGCATGATTCGTAGCTTTTGTTGACTGCACGCTGGTGGCGCCCAAGCAATGTTTTGGGTGGGGAAGGGGGAACTAGTGTCAGGCAGGGTCAGGACTGCCGGGCCAGCTACTGCCAGGCTCTGCTCCATGTCAAGAAACTCGACGGGCTGCACACAGCGGACAACACTTTGGTCACCATCGAGAGACAGCGGCGTGGGTAGGCAGGGACCGCACCAAGGGCTTCATGGTGACCAATGGTGGCATGAACATTAGGGCAGTGGCAAAGCGACTGGGCCTGGTGCGCATTTACTGTGCGGCCCAACTTCTCCATCTCGTGGTCAAGGATGCTTTGGGGTTGGGTTCTGCGGAGAATCCCAATCTGGATGCTGAGACTTGTGGATTCCGGCATCTCCACCAGAAATGCCAGTAGATCGTGAGTCACTTCTCTTGCAATGCGAAGGACACCTTTCTGCTGCGTGAGAAGCAGATGCTGACAGGTGTGCCGGTGCACGACCCGCTTGGCGGCGTCACCACTCACTGGAACTCCACCTGTGTTATGCTTGAACGCATAGTGGAGCAGGAGAGCTCCCTGACTGCCCTGATCTCTGAGAGCGGAGTCATTCGGGAAGAGAGCCGGCTCAACCGGGAGGACTGGTTGACCATCTCTCAGGCTGTGGAAGTTCTTGAGCCCTTTAAGAGCTACCCAGAAATACTCTCGTCTGACACGGCAAGTCTGGCTCTTGTCATTCCCATGGTCCACATGGCCCGTGAGGACTTGGCCTCGTTTCTGCAGCCAGCTACAGGACATGCAGACATGCTTCCAGTGGTGCATGCACTGGTGAGAAGGCTGCAAAGCGTACTCGAGGACCGCTTTCGGTCTATCCTCTGGCAGAAGGTCTACATGATGGCGCATCATGATGACCCGCGCATCAGGGACAGGACTGCCGAGCGGGCCAATGAGTTCATTCAATGGTGAGACGAGCTCTCCTGGCAAGTTGAGTGCATGCAGGCCAAGAGGGTCACGTTGCCACAAGCTGAGGGAGAGGGGGGTGCCAGCAGCTCCACTGCTGTTCGTCCCCCACCTCCCCTGCTAGGCAGCATCCCCCCCACGGCTCCCGTTGAGATGGCAGTCATCGGGCGGATCCTTGGCCTCTCTCCTGGGAGCAGCAGGTGCATGAGACAGGACACAGCAGCTGCGATGGTGAGGGAGTACCTTTCCGAACCCTACGAGTCGCAGACAACCTGTCCACTGAGCTACTGGGCCATGAAGGAGGCGGTCTGGCCGGACCTCTCTGCTGTGGACCAGAAACTCCTCTCATGCCCTCCGACGAGCGTGCAGAATGAGTGCGTTTTTTCCCATGCGAGCGACATTGTCTGCTTGCATCGCTCTCGCCTGCTCCCCTGGTCTGTTGAGCAGCTGGTCTTCCTGAAGGTCAACTTGCCACTGTTCGGCTTCCCAGTCCTAGACTTTGAGGGTGATTGAAGTGAACACGCATACTTGTGCTTGCATCCCCTCTCAGTCTGTGCTGGGAAGCTGGGTTAAAACTAGAGAGGCTATGGAGAAGTAGCAGCCAGGGCCATTACCATTTTGATTGGCACAGAAATGCCCCACCAATCTCCCCACTTCCATCCATCCATCCCACCTACAGCAGAAATACCACCCTGGTAGCCATGCAGTGCAGGGTGATGTTGAGGGTGGTGCGTGTATGCACCTGAGTCACACTACCAGCCAACCCAACCCAAAATTGCATGCTGAAGTTAAAACAGTTAAAACAGCATCACAAAAAATGGTTCTCCATCTGAACAAGGTAGGGTAGGGTAGATGCCAAGCAGCCAGACAGAAACCCACAGGAGCACCATAAATAATGAATGTGCACTAACAAATAATTTTCTTTTGCAGGGGTGAGGTGGGAAAGGGAGAGCCTGTGATAAAGGGCAGCTGTCACACCTAGGCTAAGCCTCCTCCACTGAGGCAGGCAGTGATGGTTGGTGTACTGCTGCAGAGAGAGGAGGATCAGTGGACAGACACCCCCCCCTCCCTCTTTCTGAGGCATTCCTTGATTACATCATATTGGCTCTGCTGCTAGCCTGGCAAACATGCCCCCTCGGCTTATGCTGCAGAGACCCTCTGGTTTGACCTGAGTTCTGCTGGGTTTGGGCACTGACTGCCACAGTGGCACAGGTTCTTCTGGGGGCCACATTGCACAGGTTCTGCTGCTGCTGGCCTGGCAAACATGCCCCCTCAGTTTATGCTGCAGAGATTCTCTGGTTTGACCTGAGTCTAGTTGTGTTTGGGCACTGACTGCCACAGTGGCACTGGTTCTGGGGGGCACACTGTACAGGTTCTGAGCTGGCCTGACAAACATGCCCCCTCACACCACCACACCTCACTTACTTTCTTACAGAGAGATTCTTGCTGCCTGCCTTTTTACCATCCCCATAAGAAACAATGGAGAATTGGGGGCATCCTCTTTGGATGCTCCTAGAATTGGACCCCCCTGGTCCAATATTTTCAAAACTTTGCGGGTCTTTTGGGGAGAAGCTCCAGCAGCTACAGTGCAAATTTGGTGCCTCTATCTTAAAACCCTCCCCCCCAGCCCCCTGAAAACTTGTTAGAAGATTTTTGCCATTGACTACAATGACTTCATAGGATTCAATATATCCGAATTTAAAAAAAAATGGTTTTTTTCCCTGCACACTCCTAGAAGAGACAGCTGTACAACTTAATCCCCCTGGATAAAACTTTATTAGCGTTTATATAAAACATTTTTATCCCACCCATTTCTACAAAAAACACTTCTGTGCATGTACCTTCAACCCCCTCCTCCCGGGGTCATAAATACAACATGCTATATACCCACTTAACCGGCTTCTCAATGGGGGTTTTGATTTGGATTATTTATGAA